ATACCATTGTGATCAGAGAAGACAGTTGATATGATTTCAAGCTTCTTAAATTTATTGAGATTTGATTTGTGTCCTAACATGTGGTCAAGCCATGAAAAATGTTCCATGTGCACTTGAGAAGAATGTATATTTTCCTGCTTTGGGGGAAAATGCCCTGGAAATATCTATTAAGTCCATCTGTTCTAATGTATCTTTTAGGCCCATTGTTACCTGGTTGATTTTTTGCCTGAAAGATCTGTCCATTGGTGTCAATGGGGTGTTAAACTCTCCTACTATGAGTGTATTACTATTGATCTCTCCTTTTATGTGAGTCAATAATTGCTTTATGTATATAGGTGCTCCTATGTTGGGTGCATATATGTTTACTAGGGTTATGTCCTCTTGATTTATCCCTCTTACCTCTCTTGTCACGATCAGGAATTGTTCTCGATTACTGTTGTGTCCCATCCTGGCAAGCAAGGGGTGCTTACTCAGTATTTTTTGAGTGAATAAGTCAGTGAAGAGAATATTGTAGAGTGAAGTAAGCAATGTCAGCACATCTGGCCACTCGCAGGTGAATGAGTAGTAGTATAGCAGCTGCGAGTCAGTTTTGATCGTCTGACTTCATGCATTTATCTGTTTCGATCTGCAGTGAATTTTGGAGAAATTAGGTAACATTTTACTCATTGTTTCACTGAAGTAGCCTATTTCAAATTACATTCTTGAAACTTTAAATTTATAATGGTGTATCTATATTATTATTGTAAAATGAGACTTTCTTTTTCTAAACAGTTCAGTCCTTCCATTGTCCTGGGCCTGTGAGGTTTACCATAGGCTGGTATTTGAAGCATTACACCTGCCAAAATGAATTTTCTAAGCTGGAGGTAAGTAAAACGCAAACATATTTAAAAATATTTATTGAAGTAACATTGGTTAATAATACTGTATAAATTTCAGGAATACAACAGTTTAATTCAATATCTGTATATTGAATTAAATATTTTGGTTGGTGTGTGTTCACCAACCAAAGTCTGGTCCCTTTCTGTCACCACATGTTTGACCCCCTTTACCCAGTTTGCCCTCTTCCCATCCACCTGCCCCTCTGGTAACCACCATTCTGTTGTTGGTGTCTATGAGTTTGTTTTTGTTTGTTTTGTTAGTTCATTCGTTACTTTTTATTTTATATCCCACATATGAGTGAAATCATACGGTTTTTGTCCTTTTCTGATATATTTCACTTAGCATGATACTCTCAGGATCCATCCATGTTGTCGCAAATGGCAATGTTTCATCTTTTTTATGGCTGAGTAGTATTCCATGATATATATGTACTGCATTTTCTTTACCCAGTCATCCATCAAAGGACACTGAGGTTCCCTACATGTCTTGGCTGTTGTAAATAGAGCTGTAGTGAACATAGGGGTGCATACATCTTTTCAAATTAGTGTTTTGGTTTTCTTTGGATAAAGACCCAGAAGTAGAATTGCTGGGTCATAGGTAGTTCTGTTTTTAACTTTTCAGGACCCTCCATGCTGTTTCCCACAGTGGCTGCACCAATTTGCCATCCCACCAGTAGTGCATGAGGGCTCCCTTTTCTCCACATCCTCACCAGCATTTATTATCTCTTGTCTTTAACAACAGCTGTTCTGACAGGTATGAGGTGATACCTCATTAACACAAGTTTTTAAAGCATGTAAAGCTATGATGGAAAAATTATGAATATAAAGGTTTATTAACTCACCAGGCGAATTGGCTAGAAATACAGATTGTGGTTTGAGAAGTGCCACAGATTTATTTTGGGCCTTAGGCAATAGACGTTTTAGTTACATCAAAGTACATGCTTTCTGAGAAGAATACAAATCTTTTAGTTTTCTTGTGTCTTATGAAAAATGTTAGTAAATGTTTAAATCAGACATGTAAGATAAAGAAACTGGGTCACATACCAACAAAAATCAACTTAATTTAAGAAAGAAATGTTAAAGTTTCACTTCATTAAAAATTAGTAACAGGTACCTAGAGCTTATGAGTCCCAGTAGATTTAGTGAGTGAGCAGGTCTCAGAAAGCGGTGAGGAGGGGAAGGCGGGTGTGCCTGAGAGAGGGGGACAGGCCACAGGTATGCCTGCCCTGCCCTGCAGCCTAGGCTTCCTCCCCAGGAACCCCTGGGCTCCCATGTCGTCGTCCAGACGCTCATTCCCTGATGCTGCCGTGGTTGCTTGGAATTGGTCCCTTTGCAGCTTATCTGTGATCTGTCGGCTCCTACTTTGAATAACATGTGGACTTCCATACTTTTATTTGTATTATCTTTTAATTTGGGGTAAAAGATGCCATTTTCCTTGAATGTTGCCTTTTTGACTTCCTCCCTAAATATTTTACCCCTTCACACTAACTCCTTTGCATACATTCTCTGAGAATGGGGGTACTCAGGTCACACAGCACAAGTATCAGATACAAGAGCCCTAACACTGACGAGGATGCTCTCATCTAGTAGATGGACCTTATTAAAATGCCTCCAGGGTCCCAGAAACCTCCTTTTCAGCAGGTGTGTTGTTGTGGTTTTGTTTCCTTCTGATCTAAGCACCAATCTAGGATCATATTGCTATTCTGCAGTTTATTTTTCTTTTTTGGTTTTAAGTGACATGACGTTGATATATTTAAAATGTACAAGCCATTTATTTTTACAAAGTGTGCCTCAACTGGTTATTTTTGATGTTGGATTGGATTCAGGTTGTATTTTTGGCAGGCATACTGGAAATTCTGGTTTGTCCCATTTTGGGTGATGTTAGCCGTGCTTGGTTGGTTAGGAAAGTTTCTGCCAGGTTTCTCACCAATGATGCCCCATCTCAACATCTCAACAAAGATGTTCTCTTTGTTAACAGCGGTAACTTGTGAAGAGTACTTTTGTACCTGTAGGTAGATACCTGTCCTATTTCCCCGTCATTCCTTGTTTTCACATCCTCTGATTCTGGCCTGAGGGATCAGTTATTTCTCTACAATTGCTGCATGGCAACTTTCTTCTACATCTGTTAGCATTCTGCTGTGAGGGTGAGCTCCCTCTGCCTCCATCTTACCTGTCTGTCTGTCTGTCTGTCTGCCAGCCAGCCATCAGTACAGACTCATCGGTTTTTGGGTTGTTACGACCTGTAATCTGTTACTATTTTTATTTGCTTAGCTGAGATTGTCCAATATTTGGCAGTGGAAGCCAGCTTACCCTTTTCTTGGTGACCAGGCGCTGCCCTTGGGTTTTACTCCCATGTCGGCGTTGGAGGAGACCTGGGTTCTGGTGTATAAATGAGTGTTCCCAGCCCCCAGTTGGATATGTACCTTTGCTTTTACTAGGTGTATGGCTTGTCTTTCCTTCTGATTAAATGCTGCTTTCTTCCTCTATGAGATCTTTTACCCCTGGGGTATGATGCAGGTAGCCCCGGACAAAGTATTTTGTATTTCAAAACACTTCAGTCACTGTCTTGCTGTGAGATCATGGTTATATCAGGTACTGCTGTGTCTGAGCACATCGGAGCAGATAAAATGTTGTGCTCACCTCACTTTTACTTAAAATTATATTCAGACCTTTTTTCTTTTTACTGTTTTGTTCATATTTTCAAGTGTTCCAAACTGAATAAGTTTTTGTTATTATTTAGATATTACATTTTACTTATCTTCTTGGATAGGAAGTGTGGAAATAAATGATAACATAGAATTTCACCTTGGGTAGGAGCTGTCACAGAAGCCTGAAAGTGTTGATGAAGACTTTTGTGCTCATTATTTCGAGAACATCGAATGCTGGACAACAAAAAATGAAAACTTAGATTGCAACAGTGATTTGCAGGTGTTTCCCTCATTATACGTGAGTATCTGTCTCGCCGGGTAAAACAATTTATTTCACTTCCAGTGAACACAAATATTGACTTAAATTCTGTCTTAACCAAAATTTCAATAAAGGTGCTTAATTTGTTAATTTTCATGCTTAGTTCCTTTGTGAGGCAGTCGCATGTGATCAGTTAGATGTTGGCGCCATTGTCTATTTCCCCGTAGCCTTGGCAGTAGCGCCCTGAAAGAGGACCCTCGGCCACCTCAGTGACTTGCTGTCAGTTCACCTCATTCCCTGGCCCCACCTGCCTGCACACCTCCCCACCTTTCCTTCACAGCAGCACTCCACAGGGTCCCCAAGGATCATGCTGTCAGCCCCAGGCCTGCTGCTGCGACCGCAGTCTATCCATGCACTCAACTTAACCAGCATTTAACACACTTGCTTCTCTCAGTGCATTCTAGAATCTAAATCAGATTCTAGAATGTTCTCAGCAGTCACCTTGTGTAGTAAGGCCATGGTCATTTTCACTTTTTTTTTTTTTTGTAAATTCTGAAATGAAAATATATCTTTAGTAAAAATTTTAAAGGGGTTAAATATCTGCGAAGTGCAATAAACATATAGTAAAGTGTGTACCTCAGAAGTATACTGATGAATTTTCAAAAGCTGAGCTGGTGTAGACCCAAGCCAAATGTAGAACATTTCAGCACCTGGAGCCCCTTTGAGTTCTTGATGCCCTCCCTGCCGGCTGTGTCCACTGCCCTGATTAAGGAGGTAATTTTCCAAAAGCATGATTTAGTCACTCGTGTGGGCTACAGTGAAATTTTTCTCTGATTTTCAGCTTTCAGATTTTTACTTTTTTCATAACACATTTTTTTCTTAATCGTTATCCTCACAGAAATGCAGCAATATAAAATGAAATTTTTTTATTCTCTTTTCCAGAATAAGGAACTGATTACAAATATCAGAAATGTTTCAAACCAGGAAGGATCAATGGTAAATCATTTTATTTGTCGTCAAAGCAAATATATGCAAGTTATAGTAAGACTGAAAAGAATCTGCTGATGGATAGATATTTGGAGAGTGATATAAAGTAGGGTTATTAGAACTGGGAAAGAAGAAAAGAAGTCTTATTCAAAACAGTATGTTTGCATACATATGTGTGTGACTTTTGCATATCCTCATTTCTGTCTTTGTTTAAGACCCTCTTTAAAGTTCTAATTTAAGGTTAACATCTGTGCAGCCTTTCTTTATTTTGAGGAGTTATCAGAAGTGGGGAGACCAGGAGGCTGAGGGCCACAGGAGCCTTCTGGGGCTGCACCCTGTCCACTTTTACACCATGACTGCTCGTTTCTTGTTTCTTTCTACCTTAGCAAGCAGCCTGATAGCGCAGAGGCCCTCCCTCTGCCGTGGCTGAGAAGAGCTGCATAGACCATCACCTGTGGAACGAGAGGAAGTAAAAGGGCAGGACAGGGATATTCAGGAAGGAGGCATGCGAGAAGTTTAGTCCAGTCACCAGTTACATGGGGCATGCGAGGGGCATCAGCATGAAAGTGGCAGTCATAGTCCGCAGTGGGACCGCTAGTAACATCCACCCTTAGGGAATTGGAATAATTTAGCCACATATGAATAGGAGCCATTTCTCACAGTGTCATCTAACTTCTGCCTCCCACAGTTCAATTTAAAACTGCATACTTGATATTTGGATAAAACATGGAAAGAGTAATATGAGAAAAAGTACTTGAAAGGTAATATTAAATACAACATAGAATGGTGACACGAGGGAATCTGTAGAAATAGGGAAAGTAGAAAATGTTGAAGGGTGGAATAGGCTTCTCTCCTCCGCCATCTCTAGGTCTGGAAAATGGTGATAAAAAAATGGGAACCCTCCACTGCCCACCTTCCTGTGTTATCTGATTGTGTTGTTTAAAAGTAACCCAATTTAATTATTAAAAGTTGTTTTAAAATGTGATGCACAATCATTAAGCTATATCTTATATAGCAAGTTTTTCAAATAACAAGATTTTTTTTTCCTGTTTCAGGATGTTGTTGCAAGAACCCAGAGAGATGGGTTTCACATCTTTATTGTTTCAATTAAAACAGAAAATACGGATGCAAACTGGAGTTTGAATGGTATAGTTAAACTACATGCATGTTTATTGCCTGCCTTTCCTGTGTTCTATATTTTTGTCATTGACCCAAATTTATATTCTCTGTTAAAACACGATTCAAAAATGAATTTCTATTAAATACAAAAATGAATAATCTGTTTATCTGGGGGACATAAAACTTTATTCTTAATGGATAGAAAATTTTAAATTAAGATAAATTTTTAAATTTTAAACTTCATAGCGGGATAGAAAATTCTCCATACTTTCAAATTTAAAAAAAAAAATCAATGCATAGATTTGGGCAGGTGACATCTTCATTGTGCCTGAAGAGATCATATTCTTTTTAAAATGGTCGTCATCAGGGGTCAGAAATTGTTGCTTTTTGAAAAGCTTTTTAAGCGGCACTTTGTAGCCTAGAAGTAAAGGTGGCATGCCTGGCCACTGGGGTTCCCGTGGCCTTGAGCTCCCGCACAGGGTGGCTCCTATGAGCCCATTAGCTATAATTCCCCTGCCCACGCAGGAGCGGGCTCACAGTAAGCCATTTGCCAGGGCGCAGTGCTCTCACATGCCCTGGCATCGCTTTGGCTACCGTTTTCCAGAGGGGTATCTGCTGTACTGTCAGTGCCAGACAGCATGTGAGGGTCCTAAGGGTGTGCACTCCTCTGGTTCATCCATTGGGGACCCAGAGGGGAGCCAGGCCCTCCCACTGAGAGACACACCATCTGGTGGGGGCAGGGAGCATGGGCTGAACAAGCATCGCTGCAGAGGGGATCCCGTGGGGAGCTGGTGGAGGCGGCTGCTCTGGAGGGCCGTGGGGTCGGGCCTCGCCCTAGAGACGACGTGTGTGCCAGGCCAGGCCACAGAGAGGGAGCAGGGACCTGGAGGCCATTCTGTCTTCTGGGAGTGCCTTCCCCTACTCAGGCTGCCAGCACTGTGCCCCACACTTAGTCATTGGAGCCACTGCTGAGCACCACGAGTCCTGTGCCGGACTGGACACTGTTTGTTACCGCGTCTCAGACAATAGCCCGGATGATCAACCGGGGCCAGGCCACAGCCAACGTGACTCTGCTTTGCATGAGGTTGGATCTGGCCTGGGTGTTAGAGCACATGCTCATGGCAGTGCCATGGTTAGGTGCGCGGTCGGACAACTGCTGGGCACAGATCAGCTTGCGTTCTTGGGGCCCGCTGGGGACTGCGCCCACCCTGAAAGCTGAAGACAGAGCTCACTGTCCTTTCTCTACCCCTCTCCCCATACCAGTTTCTCTCTCTATGATGGGGCCGAAAGGATACCTCTCTGCCTCCGACTGGCCTCTCATGATTGTGAGTATGTCTGTCATATCCTAAAAACAGGTTCTGTATCCTACTTGGAAAATTTTAAACTCCCAAGAGTCAGTAGTGGTGACCCCTATGAGCTATGGCTCTGCCCTGCCCTCTCAGCTTCCAGACCGACTAGAAAGTCAAGGAGCAAAGCATGGGGTGGAAATGTCGGTTTCCGGGCAACTGCCAGGCCTAGCTGACAGCAACTTCTCCCCTGCAGTTCTACCTGGCCATGTGCATCGTGTACGCCCTGTATGGCGTGCTCTGGCTCGTGTGGTTGGCCTGCTACTGGAAAGATATATTAAGAATCCAGTTCTGGATCGCAGCTGTCATTTTCCTGGGAATGCTTGAAAAAGCAGTTTTCTATACCGAATACCAGAACATCAACAGCACTGGGCTGTCGAGTAAGTTGTGACTTTCTCCAAAACATGATGTAACCCAAGGGGCCCCCGTGTCTGTGAGCACAGCCATGGGAACAGGCACATGGCAGACGGAACGGGGGTCCCAGGGAGGCTGGCGGAACGGCTCCGGCCCAGCCACGCAGGTGCACACAGTGCGCGTGTTCCTCTCCCCTCAGCTCAAGGACTGTTGATCCTGGCAGAGCTGATCTCCGCCACCAAGAGGACACTGGCTCGCCTGCTGGTGATCATCGTGAGCCTGGGCTACGGCATCGTAAAGTAAGTCCTGCCATGTCTCTGTCTCATGGCCTCTGTGGAGCGGGACGCCCATCAGTGTCCTGGTACAAACCCACTGGGAAGTATGTGCAGGCCACACTCTCAAGGGCTGTCCATGCACTGGCTGTCCCACACTGTCCGCACAGCAAGTGCCTGAGTGTAGTTCCAGTCACTTCTCAGTCCCACAAATGAAGGATCAGTTTCAAGGATGTAGAAAATTTTAAACCATCCTCGAGGTCCAAACCATTTTCTATTTCCTTAGCAGCACAGTTGCCTCTTACGACTGTGTGTGGATGCCATCAGGGACAGGACACTGCCATGTCAGCGAGATTCCTGGGTTAAGCCCTGTCCCTCAGCTCTGTTTCCTCCCGCCCCTCATCCTGTGTGTCACTTGTCCTCTTCAGAGCACCCTTCTCCCTTCATCCCTAAAACCCTCTGATGCCCAAAAGCTCGGCCTCAGCCTGGCCGCCTGCTCCGCCTCTTGCTGCAGCCCTGGTACCACCCGGCCTCCTCCCCTCATCCCTTAACTTGCTAACCTGCCCCTCAGCATGTCACCGTCAGATGCCCTGTGTGGCCAGGACCCTGGGGCTAGTCTTTGGGTGACCCCATCTCACCTTCGACAGCTGGTATCCTGCCCTTTGTCTCCCTCAGCTGGGACACCAAGGCCATTCTCTGTACAGCCATACCCTGTCCATCACCACAGGCCACTTTTCAGCTGTCACCACCTCTTCCTGTTCACTGTCTCTGACATGTCAGCTCCTGTTGCCCTTTGACCCCGCTCTGGCCTCTGGCCTTTGGCCCTGCCCTCCCCAATCCTCACCGCCTCCTTCAGCTATCCTTCTGTTCCGGCAGACCACTGATATCCTCATGCACACCCGAGCCCTCCCCTCAGCCTGGGCTCCCTTGGGTTGTGTAGGCAGCAGCGGCTAAGGGGAACTTCCTGGAGTATGACTCAGATCTCATTTTTCTGCTCATTTTCCTCTGGCTTCTCTGATGGCCAACTTCGTCCCTTGCTTTCTCCCCTCTGAGCACTGAGCTCCGTCCTACTGGCTGTCATGCTATTGCTCTCCCTTAAATAGCCCACCCTTTCTTACTGGGGGCTCTTTTCCCAGACCTCTCACCATCTTGGCCCTGCTCCCCCTTCATATTCAGGTAGGCAACCCTGCCAGAGTTCTAGACATGGCACCCACCCTCCCCCTGCAAAACCCCTGGGTGTGTACGTGAGCTCTTGCTGTCTCCACTGAGCCCGGTAGGGGCTTTGTGTCCGTGTATGGATCCCCGTGCCATCCCTAGCCCAGAGCGCCATCCCGTGAAGGGTGTTGGATGCACATGTGCGCTGGGGCTCACACTCAGCCAGGCCTCCTTCCTGTCGGACTTTTATTGGTTCCCTCTCGTGCTCTGCTTTGGGGACTCAGCACAGGGCACAGCCCTAGAGCCCCTGCCGTGTCTCACGTGCCTCTCGGCTGCAGTTAGGAGCACCAGGCGCTGGCATGTGTGGCGTGTTTCAGTGAGGGGACAGATGAAATAGCTAGCATACGGGACACAGGCCTTGGCGATTGCATCCCTTCACTGCAGCCCGCATGTCAGCTGTCATAGGGTGGGCCATTAGCTGTTAGACAGAGTCAGAACTCAGATAAGCTAAATGAAATAACTAGTCCGAAACATGAACTGTGGGTACTTAGATTGTTTTAGAATGATGACCCTAAGTATCTTCGAAACCATTTTTTTCTTCTAATTAACTCTGAGAAGAGTGTTTTTGAGCTAAAATGTATGTGCAATAGACTCTGACTTGTAGGTATCAGTAAATTTCAGTTCTGTCACATTACTAAGCATAGAAATTACCATCTTTGCGGTTTCCTAATTTATTTGTATTTTTAAAGAATCAAAATGGTACTTTAATTTTTTCTAATTCAAAGACTGGAACTGAAGTCTGTCCACATTGGTTTGGGGTCTTGAGAGAAGGAAGGTGATGGGGCTCTGTCTCGTGACGTCTGCTCCTTCTCTGCCCAGGTTGTAAGTTGGTTGGTCGACTCCAACAAAATGGACCCCAGACAGTTTTAATTAATGTCAGAGAAAAAGTTAAATCATTTCTGCTGGTGACACTCAGAAGCGTCAGCCTGCTCTTCATCCCGCTCTTCGGATCTGGGCCGGGCGACGGCGCGGCCCCTGCGCTTGCATTTCCGCGGCAGAGTGCTCGCTTGCTCCCAGTGCCAGAGCAGAAGGTCCGGCTTTGAGCCAGTTGCTGCCTTGTCCCCAGGAGACAGGCATTTCCTAGCACAAAGCACCGTGGGTGGGATAGACCTATCTGACTAGGTGGCAACTTCTGTCCTGTTGGAAGTGAGGCCCTAACTGTATTCAGACATGTGACTGACCTGCCTTTTCTTTCCTGCCCTGATTTCCTTCCCCGATCCAGGCCTCGCTTGGGGACAGTTATGCATCGGGTGATTGGACTTGGGCTCCTCTACTTGACCTTTGCAGCAGTTGAAGGCGTGATGAGAGTCGTCAGGGTAAAAACCGCATGATCACCCTACCGCCCCTTTTGTCGTTGCTGCGGCTCAACCTCATGTCTCCTGAGATGAGTCTGTAAAGACGGAGAGTTTAAGAAAGGGCGCGATTTGAGCTGCTTTTCCTACAGGGGGTTTTCCTTCTTAATACTCTCCGGAAGTAAAAGGCAAGCCCCAGAGCACTTCCTGAAATGACCTACCTGACTGAAGGCAGCAATGGTGTCGCCCGGGAGTTGACCCCTCAAAGTGTCTGCAGTCACCCCTCACGAGGATGGCTTGTCTCTGTCTTTTTGCAGTCCACACACGGTCCTTTCTTCCTTGCGTCTCGGCTTACACACATGCCACGTGAGACAGTGTCAGTGCCCCCTTCACATGTGCAGACATTATGTCTCACTTTCAAGTCTCACTTGGTCGTAGGCCACCTCTGACTCTGGATACAGGGTCATGGGGCTCAGCAGAGCTCTCTCCTGCAAGGACTGGGAGCAGGTAGCATTCGAGGGTGACTGGCGCCGGGACAGTGCTCCCTTCTTGGGACATGATGGAATGTTTATGTCTGTGGAGACCCTGAGGTTTCTAGCTCACGGTTTGTCTTAATCACATAGTGATTACTGAGTGATGACTCAGTGATGACATAGTGATGACTGAGTGATCAGCAGCTTATTGTATTTCACTTGATTCTGAGAATAGTGTGATTTTTACCTAGATGTATAACTCAGGTCACTCACTGCACAGAGCGGTTTGTGTGTGTGAGCTGTGAGTTCACATCACGTGTTCACTCTGACCCTGAAGCAGGACTCTAGTCAGTAGTGTCAAGAAGCCTCATTCTTCTTTCTGTTGTTGTCTTAATGTGTCTGCATTCGGTTAGGTAGACCTGCTGCTTCATCAGGTGAGGTACACCTGCTGTTTCATCTTTGACTCTTGAACGGAGTACTTATTTTTACGTTTACATAATAATGAAGAAGTCTGCATTTTTATATAACTAAGGAAACTAATCTGCTAGAAAGAAAACAGAAGATAAATATTCCACATATAGATACAGTACATACTCTGTATTTCCTTAAGATTGTACAGTCAGTATGTGCTACTCTGTCAGCTCCCGCTTAGAGTAAAGTGGATAATCTATGCTGTTTGTCCCTTCCACTCTGTGCCTTTTCCTTATTTGCCTTTTTCCATGTCCTTCGTGTGAGTAGGAGAGATGAGGGTCCATTCCATGAGTGTCATGGCTGTAGGTTTGGTGTGGAGAGGAGAAACTGACATGGTGGCCCTTGTGGGGTGGGGACATGGTGCTTGTTATTTGCCATTCCGTATGTAGTTCAGTTTCACCTTGTCTTCAAACAGGTTGTTGACAAATTAGCATCTATTGCTGCCCAAATGGATCTTTCCCATGTGCTTAAACACAATTCTGTTAGGAAGTAGAATCTTTTATGTGGCCTTTGTAAAGTGATGCTGTGAGCTAAATTGTTTTTCTTCGTCAGTGATAATTCCTGTAATATAATGAAATTCAGCATTTTTTTCTGTTTTTATCTTTCAGGGTTCTAGCCATTTAGCCGTTGTTTTTGGTGACATAATTTTAGCAGTTATCGACTCCATTTTTGTATGGTTCATATCCTTTACTATGTCCTTCTAAAATAGTTTGTTATATCATGAAAATCATATTCCTTTTAATTTGTAATAATAATAGTAAATACAGTTTTGCGTTATTGTTACCTCAAGATAGGAATTTAGTTGAAGGTGAAAAAGTAACAACTCCCCAAGCTAACTTAAGTGCTCACTGTGTGCCCCACACTGAGGAGGCATAGGAGGAAAAGACACTCCCTTTGTTTAAGGACCCCACAGTCTGGTAGAGCAGACACACAGCTGAGAACATACATCAGTAGTAGTTGCATTTTAGAGAGATCTTATGCAAACAGGAAAGAGAGCAGGTGTTCTGGCATGAAATCAGGAAAGACTACATGGAGATGGTGACATTTAAATTGAGTTTGGGAGAACAAATAGGGGCTCAGTAGGAAGAGGCATTGTGGGAAGAATGGCGACCACACAGCCAGAAGCATGAAAACAGAGACTATGGCAGAATGTGCTGGAGTAGACACCTATAGATGAGCAAGCCGGTGGGTCATGGAAGATGGGGCCAAAAGGAAAAGGTAGAATTGTGGGTCCAGAGTTTAGCCCTTCTTCGAAGGTGGAAGGTAGAGGGGATTGAAGCTGCACTGGTGGATAATGTGGAATCTGTGTTAGAAAGAACACAGGGACGACACAAAAAGATGAATTAGAGAAGGAGGGACCAGGACAGGAAGTCCATTGGCAGAGGTCCAAGGAGGAGATGGTGAGGGCTGGAAATAGGGCAGAGGACATGGAAAACAGATTCCATTTGGTAGTCTAGCTGAGAAATGTGGCAGAAGAAGGGGAGGCTCCAGAGAAGTCCCGTCTGCCCTATTTGGCACTTAGAGCAGTGATGCCATCCTCAAGGGGATGACCTTGGAGAAAAGACCACAATGGAGGAGGTCTGAGCCACCAGGGGCGTTAATGTGAAAAGAGTTGGAAGTCCCAGCCTAGGTTTGCAAGAGGAATCATAATTGATGTTGAAGGTTGGGGACCACCTATGAGAGGGAGAGAATTGGGCAGAGAGGATGGAGGGGCACAGGACTCCGGTCCAGTGAAAGGGGTGGGGCCAGGGAGACCTGGTAGGTGGGTCCTGCTTGTGGGAGGAGCACTTGGATGAAGTGAGATGGAAGAGCCAGAGGTTGCCCTGGTGTGGAGACTGGGAGAGCTTCAGTGAGGAGGGCGGCCAGTGTTGCAGAGAGTTCCCAAGGCACCCCAGCTTCGAGCACTCCAGAGATAACAGTAGGACAGCAGGAGAGTAGGTTCAGGACAGGTAGGTGCAGGAGCTGCAATCCAGCAGAAATCCTAAGGCGATATGAGTTTATCTCTGAGGACCCATCACTGAGTAGGTGTCCGAAGTTGGGCGCCCCCCAACTGGTTTCGTGGGATTGGGAGGGCATTCTAGAAGGACTGCGCCTGGTCAGAGTGGAGCAGTTTATGCAGATCCCAGAGCAGTGTTTTTATGTTTCTGCTACGCTGATGTCTTCTCTGAAACTTTCCTATGGATGGTTTAATTTTTACTGAGTTATTGTTTCCACTGTCTTTGGTACTTGTCTTTCACCTTTTAACATGAAATGTTCTTTTGTTTTCCTTGTATTCTTTTCATTTTCTCATCTTTATCTCTCAGGGGAAGGGTCAAAGGGACATGAATCTGCCTGTGTCCACAAGGAAGCAAGTGTGCTAGCAAACATGGCACTGTCCCTCGCCGGTGATTTTTTCCTAAGCCAGGTCTAACTCTTCTTTAAATTCCCTGTTTATGAATTGTCAGTACACTCCCAAGTTAAAACAAACCTTTAAGTTGTTATTCTCATTCTCTAAAGCAGTAGTTCCAACCTCGCTTGGGTGCTGGAAATGAGACAGGCCTGAAGCCTGTCTTCACAGGTTATAGCCCCCCAGTTCCCCTCCAACGCAGACGTTTTGCCTGCACTAGTGTGTTTAAGAACCTCCCAGACTATACCCATGGAGCCCCTGAGTCTGAGGCAAGTCCAGTTAGGAAATAATGGTAGGTTTAGAGCTGTTTCTGCCTGATTTGCTTAAAAAGCACCTTCTGCTTCTGTTCAGAGCTACTAGTTTAGAATTCAAGTTTACTAAATAAAATTATAGTTAACTAAATGTGATCTCAGGGAGTGATGTAAACATTTTACTCTAGTAATTTTCATATTTTCTGCATTAAAACACATTTGAAGACATTTGGTCAGTTGTGCACAGGAACTGTGTTCCCGCTGAGGGCTGCAGGTCCTGTTCTGTTAGTGCTTCCCTGCAGAGCACCCACCGCCCTAGGGGAGGGGCAGGCTGTGTGGGCACACCTGGGAGTGGGTGGCAGGACTGCAGGGAGAATCCAGTGTTTGTCTCAGGACCTCACCGCCTTTGTTTTTGGTGAAATCCTGTATGAATCTAGCTCTAAAGTAATAGCAGAAATAGTCTGAAAAATTCAAAGCATAGCCTTTCTCATGAAGCCCCCTCCCCTCTTTTTTCGCTTTTTCTTCCTGTTTGCTGCAGGCAAATGACTCTGATCTTGTGCTTCTGGCCAGCCTTCCCCTGTCTCTTCTTGACTCTGGCTTGTGCTGGTGGATATCCTTTCTTGCAGCCGCAGGACCCTATGGTTTCTCACGGGAGGTGGGGGTGGAGGACCACGTACTTTCCTCGCACTTCCTTCTGACTTTGACCCAAGAGGTATGTAAGCATCCCTGCCCTTACCATGTCTGTGGGTACAGGCTTAGCAGTTTTGAATTTGCTTGTAATTTTTTTTTCATTGGCTTTTAAAAATTACTTTTGGATTATTAAACAAGATCAGATTTTTAATGTAGAAAATTGGTTTTAGTCAAGAATTTCTAGAAAGTATTTGTCTTGGTGATGTGTGAAGGATGTAAGGCTACTGTAAATTCTGACAGTAGCCTTAAGGGTTTCATTGTGTGTGTTAGACACTGATCTTCTAACGACAAGTTATTGATCATTTAGAAAGATTGAAAAGCAGTTTGGGTAGTTTCAGGTATTAAAATGAAGTTTTTGGTTCATGAGTGTCTGGGACTTAAAATAGGTGTACATGGGAATGTGGCTCCTGTCCTCTCGGGCTCAGCCCTGTAACTGCCATGTGGGCCACAGACCAAGCCGGACTAAGCTGGGCACTGCACAGGGGCCCCCACCTGCAGACAGAGCTCTGCAGATTCGGAATGTCATTCCCAGCTCGTCACCTGATGCGCCACCCACGCCTCACTCCTGAGCCACGTGGTCCTGTGCGCTCCTGCCGGTCGGAGCCCAGCCCTGTCCTGTGTGACCACGGACGCTGAGATCCCATAGTCGTGACATTCTCCCTTCGCCATTACCTTCAGAATGAAGTCCCTCCTTACCTAAGTCCAGATTTGTTCTATTTGACGTATTTCAGGTTTTAATTGATAGAATGGAATTGATAGATGACATAACTCCTTATTTATGGTCCTCGAGAGTGTAAAATGAGAATAGACTCGCAAGATCAAAATAGGTAAGAAACAGAAAAGCACAGGCCCTGCAGGATGTCCTGTGGGGCCTGCGGGCGCCTGGCCTGGGACTGGCGGGTCTGCTGCTCTGCCCTATGGTGGGACACTGGCAGTGACGAGCAGGGCAAGGGGCTGTCTGTGTGTCCTCCACGTTCGTTTGGTTTCCAACCACGGTGGATGGTGAAGCAGCATCTGTGATAAAGTCAGTTTCATGATTATGCAGCATAGGCTAACATTACACTTCCATGTTTTTATCAGCTTTAAATTAAAGGATGGCTATTTAGCAGTCCTAATTGTGGAAATGTAGTAGAAGACTCTTATTACATTTTTTATTGTAACTGTTTATTACTGTTTAAGATGTTTTTCCTTAATTTTTTCACATTTTTATAAGCTTAGCACAAACAATGAAGACTCTGAGGCTCAGGAAGAACACGGTGAAATTCTCTTTATACAGGCACTTTACAAACACTCTGATCTTCGCCGTGCTTGGTGAGTCTGCACCTTTTCTTAATATAGTTAGTAATTTCAGGATCACATCTCCTTCAAAGGTGACTTTTTTGGTGTGTTTCAGCTTCCACAGTGTTTATGGTGTGGACGACTAAGACATTTAGATTTGCCACATGTCAGTCGGTAAGTGTGATCTTTCTATTTAAACCGTTTTCATTTTTAATTATACTATTTTGTGTAATGTTGAAGAATTTAGTTTGTCTTTGTGAATCCAGGTAATTTTAGTGGAGATTTTCTGTTTACCTTGAATTATTTTGTACAGAATTGTAAAGCCTTTAAATCTGAAGTCCTCCTGAATCCGCTTTTCAGTTACGCCCTTTCTTCACCTTCCTTTTATATATTTGGAAAAATAATTGTCTGCCTATATGAGTTAAGGTAACAGGGAGTCTCTTTCCTCCCACACTCCATGAGCTTAGTCTGTTCCATCCCTAACAGGACGGTGACCCTTAAGCCTGGTGTGTTCCCGGGGTGGTGGACCCATTCCCAGCACCCAGACATTCTCCCCGTGGGCTCTCGGCTTAGAAGCAGGTGTGCCTCTTGCACTGAAACCGTAAACGACCCTCCTTAGGGACTTGTAGTTAGGGGCTTATCCCTTGTTCTACACAAACAGCTACACACAGCCTGTGACAGTCCCTGGCCTGTGCTGCCTGCGGGGTGACTCGGTGAGAGAAGGCAGACTTTCTAGAATCTCCTTTCTCTCTTCCCTTCACTTCAGTATTTTTACTGTGAGTTCTAAATATCTCTTGGATTTTTATTTTTGTTTTCTAAGTCTTTCTGTTAACCCTGAAATTTTATGGAAGGGAATGTTTATAATGTTAAACAGTCCTTTAGAAACATTTCAAACAATATTTGATAATACCTCCTCTCTCACTAAAATCAGAATAACCTATTAGGAGAGAAACACTGCATTGAGATTTTTGCATCAGAGATTCTAGTGTCATCAATGTCAGAAATACGGCAGTCCCCCCTCATCCATGGGAGACACGTCCCAAGACCTCTAGTGGGCGTCCGAGACCATGGACACCCTGAATTTCCTCCTACACATACATACCTAGAGTAAAGTTTAATTTATAAATCAGGCACAGTAAGAGACTAACGATGATAACTAATGCAGTAGAACAACTGTAGTAACATATTGTAGTAAAGTTTTGTGAGCTTGGACTCATTCAAATTTACTTATGAGTTGTTTATCTCTGGGATTTACATTTAATGTTTTCAGACCGCAGTTGGTCACGGGTACCAGACCACGGATGAGGGGACTGCTGTACCCATGTCACCTTGATTCTCATTCTACTGTTACCTGCCTCAGGACTGTTCTCATCTAGCAAACATGTCTAGTGACCTCCAAAGCTCCTTCGTCCTCTAGTTCTTTTTATGATACCATGCTTTATAATTTATGTTGGGATTTTATTCACCTGCCTGGCTATAAGGCTGAAGTAGGCATTGATGTTGATTTCATAGAGATGGCATTTCTTCATTTTTATGTTTCTTGAAAAAAATGTGTACTTATTTATTTGGAAGACTTACTACTTGGAAAGATTTTGTTACTACTCGTCATTGTACACTGTTTGAACTGGATATCTGTATGTTTATCAGAAAATTAACTTTCCATGTTCGGCTTGTCCTTACTGTAGGACTGGATGGAGCGCTGGGTTGATGACGCATTTTGGAGCTTCCTTTTTTCGCTCATTCTTCTTGTAATAATGTTTTTGTGGAGACCGTCAGCAAATAATCAGAGGTACTGAACATAGGAAAGGTCACACTTGGCAAGCGTTAGTTGATCACCTGCTGCAGTGTTAATGCATTTATAGAGACTGTGGGGAAGTGGGTGTGCTTCTCAGGAGGCTAATTTAGTGAGGACACATAACAGGTGCAAGACAGCGAAGCACGAGATGCATAAAGTGGGTACAGAGTGGACGCAGGTTGAGAAAGACTCCAGACTCTGAAAGGCACAGAGGGACGGAGCCGGGCAGTGAGAGCCAAGCTGGATGGTTGTGCATTTCGGGGAGAGTGGGGACATGAGGACGCTTGTAGGTCATGGAGGACATGGCTGCATGCAGGGAGTCAATGCTGGCTCTGCCTAGGAGGTGCAGCTGTGGAAGGGGGAGGAGGGCAGAACAGGGAGGAGCTGGAGCGCTCAGTTGGGAAGGCTGTGTCTTATTCCCCACACAGTGACAGTGACTCACCCGTGACAGGCGCCCTGCCCCCTTTGCCCCTCCTCTGCCCCAGGAAACAGCTATAGGGAGAAAACGAAAGAATGTATGCCATTGTGTGTCTCCCTTTTTAAAAATATGCAATAGCTATGACACACACACAGGCACTGCTCTGTGCCTCCTTGTTACAATGCAATCCCCATTGGCCAGCACTGCCCACTGTGGGTGCAACACATCCGTGTCAGCGGCCCCCAACCGTAGACACTGTTCTGGGTTCTTGCTGTCAGGGGTGATCTCTGAACTCTGTTGGGCCGAGTAGCGTGGCTCCATCATGCATGTGCTGTCTTTTCTGCAGTCAGGTCGCAGTCTTCCCAGTCGGGGGATGAGTCAAAGGTCGTGGGCGGGCTGGTGGATCTGACATGGAGAGGGTGTGGCAGGAAGTCCCCCCGCTGGGCATGACAGACTGCAGGGCTGCTCCCCAGACCGGGCTCCCCCCGTTCCCACCCTTACCAGCGGGGCAGGGGCTCCACGTGCACAATTTCTTCACGATCGCCTTTCTAATTTGAGAGTAAAATAATTACATTTTTATTGTTCTAATTTATGAGAAACTTTTTAAAAGTAGATATTTTTAATGTAATGACTCTTTTTACCTGTAACTGAAGTTGAACAGGCTTAGACACACTAGTAGAACAATTCTTTGTTCTCAATACAGGTATGCCTTCATGCCCTTAATAGATGATTCTGATGACGAAGATGAAGAATTTATGGTGACATCTGAAAATTTGAGTGAGTGATACATTTTCTTGTTGAATGACCATTGTATTTATTATAACAAAGAAATATTGTACTTTTACCTGTGATGCAAGTCAGATACATTTTTTTTCCTTTAAAATATTCTTTAAACTACATCTGCAGAGACCTCTATTATGGTAGATAGAAGACAAGTTGGTAATGAAATTTTAAAGATTATTGATGTAGTTTGAGTTTTTGTTACTTGTTTGCTCTTAAAGTCTGAGTGTCGAGGTGGGTGCAGTGCTTTTTACAAGAATGATTTGGCGTGTGTGGCTCTTGGCTCCAGAATAACGTCCTTCTTCCTGATGGTGCTCCATGTCTTTGAGTCGCTCCTTCTAGCTCTTTAAAATTAGTCACGTCTGTCATTTCCTGGTCGTGCCTAGAGCATTTCTGATTATGGTTTTAGTGCTGATTTCACTTTGTTGTTCATTTCTACACAGCATTTTATCACTTTGTTAATTTTACCTTAATACTCTAATTGAGCATTTCTTAAGGCGACATCAGAAGGTAACTCAGATGTTGAGAGCAACTTTATCTTTGTTCCATCCTGCCTTCCTCTCACACTGGCTTCTCTTATTAGTAACACTCTTTTCTACACTTTTTTTGTTTCTCTAATTGTCTAAAATACTATGAACTTTTTATGATCTTCCCAGTCAGCAAAAACTGCAACATACTCAGTGCGTCTTCTGCGTCCCCACTTTCCTTTTACTTCCTCTCATCTTATTCTCACAACTGATTCTTTCATGGTTCTCTGACTTTCCTATTAAGAAAAGAAACCGGAAAGACTTATTGACAGCAAAGGCATTAAGTTCAGTGTGTCCAGCTTCTGGCTCTAGGAACGAAGGAATGAATGATACTGGGCTCACTTCCTGCTCACAGGAAGTATAAACTCTGGACAGAATATTTTTCCTAAATGAGGGTATGGAGAGCAACAAAAAGCAGGCAGACTGGAGATCTGGCTGTTGAAAAAAGTGACCCACACCCTCAGTGAGCCCCATGCTTACAGAGCCCTTGGCCAAAATGCCCGCCTGCCCGCCCAAGGGAATGACAGCTGGAGCTCAGGGTACAAGTGCAGTCCTGCTGAGGCATGCGCTGTGAGAATGCCTGGAAGGAACCTGGGAGAGAGAGCCACAGGGGGAATGGTCCAGAAAGCTGTGGTCTGAGTCTTACCTGATGCCTGTGCCGGGCGAGTGTAGAGTGAGACCCTGGGGGCAGGGGACCATGCCATCGGCCTGAGAAGCAGGGCAAGTGTGTCGGCAGCTGTCCGTGCAGAGCTTAAATCCAGGTCCCAACCAGGTGGACATGCTCAAGTGAGCACTGTAGCTTTCCATAAAGCCCCGGGGGCCATCCCAAAACGGAGAGACTGTATTCTAGGACAACTGGGATTCACTCGAGGACACCGCCAGCCTCAGTAAACCCTCCCCAATGAAATCCATGAGCACACCTGTGCAGGATCTCGGTGGGCCGTGTGTCTGCGGGAGCACCATGCCTCCAGGCAGAAGACCAGGGAGCCCTGCATCCCCAGCAGGACGCGGTGCCCGTGGTCATGGATGACCCGCTCAGAGAGACCTGGAGCTGCCCGGGTTCTACCTAGCAGGAAGGACTCAAGGGCATTATCACAGACATGTCACAGAATCCACGGGAACAGATTGCTGTGGCCAGCGGGGAGCTCGAGAGAGATTCAGAAACTAAAAGAAAGGCGGGGAGGAAACAACTACAAATACTGTCACCTCCCTTTAGACATACGTGCGGTCATTCCTTTTTGGGTCATCGGGTGTGAGGCTGTGAGGGAGAATGTTGTTTTATAATATCACATATTTATCTCTGTAATGCTTTTTATTATAGCTGAAGGAATAAAATTAAGAACCTCAAAACCTGTTTCCAATGGGACAACTAAACCTGCTACTGCCGACAATTTTGTGAGTTACATAGATATTTAATAGTCTGTCTTTATACTTTAGAAGTTTATACAAGTGTCGCGTTCACAAACGATCAGGACACCTTGTGCTAAGGTGTTCCGTATGAAAAACGTTAGCAAGCCCCGATACTGGCTGAGTCTGTAACTGTGGCTGCCGTAGGCCCTGCTGCTCGCACATTGCCCTTGGGCCAGCAGCATGAGTGGCACCCAGGGACCCGGGGGAGCTGCAGACGCCCCACCCGGCCCGGCCCCACTGAGTCCCAGTCCACTCGGCGGCAGCACCCACAGGGAACTCATAGGCACCCTGGAGATAGAGGAGCTTTGTGAGAGCGAGAGCTCACATTAGTTTCTCATCATTTTAGAGTGATTTTGATAACGTTTGATAACATTTGTTGGGGAAGGACTTTATTACCTGTGCATTTTTAAAACATTGTGGAAGCTTAAATAAAATGGTAAAAATATAGGGTAGAGATGAGTTTTAAAATATTCTATGCATATTATTTGTGCATAAAAGTGATAATTATGAAAATAACCAAGCAAAATGGGAATGCCTATGATACAGTTTTATATGACTTTCTTACAGTTATTGCTACATTGTCATTAATACGGTATAAAAATTCCTGTATGCATGTAAGTTCTAATAGGACAACAGATGATATATAAGAACAGTTTTAGTTGCTGGATTTGGTAAATTCTCTAATTTTTATTTTTGGCAATTAATAATTTTTTATGTCCCCAACATGCTTCCGCTGCACGATTCTGTTATCTTTAATAATTTTTTTAAATGTGTTCTTTTAGTAGTTTGATGATAATTTAACTAAACTTTAAAAAAATTAGAACAATTTTAATAATCTGGTGTTAGAGCTTCTACACTTTGAATTTGTCGAGATATTTTCCTCTTATTTTAGGGATGGATCTCATTTTATTTTTAAAGCTCAACATTTGCAAACACATCAGGGGATGTGTTTCTCTAAATTAAGTGTAGTCAGCTCTTGATCAGAATTTGGGGGCCATATCTCTCACTGACTTATTTCTATTTGAGACTCACTCAGATAACATGGGTCCCTGTTAATACCGCTCAGTTGCTTTGTCTCTCTCTAGAAGCAAGAGATGAGAAATGCTAGAACCAGAGTATCTCATATAATTAATACTACAATCAGAGTATTCCATGTAGCCAGGTAAAATGCAAAGAAACATTCTCATTTATTTTACACTATAAATCAAAATATTTCATATACCTTTTATTTTTGTTTCTCCCAGTGAGATAACTATAAGCAAGTTTCTGTTAAAAAAAAATTAGGTACCCAACTTACTTTCCTTTTCTTGTCTCCTACAGAGAGGTGAGCATAAATACAAGTAAAGGAAATAATAGATTTTTTTTGTAAAGTTAGAATATTTGTACCATCATCTTTTTCTTTTGAAAAATTATAAATGCATGATACAAAAACTTGAACAAATTAGTAGGTATAATGAATTCTGGGAGCAAAATATCAACACAAATCAATTTTTCTTGCTATTTTCTATTGTATAAATGCATTTCGTATTTTTATTGTGGTTTTTCAGGACAAAAATATAACACCTGTGCATCTAACTAAAACCAAGAAGTACAAAAATTCTAAATCCAAATGTTTGTCTGTTTGCATCTTTAAGAAGATACTAGCCTAATTTGTGTGGCATTAATGCCAACTTCTTAGGACATGTAGAAATTAAAAGAATGGCAAGGATTTGAATTTAAGTGCCTAAATTTTATATACATTCTATTTAAAAATTCTGCTTTCAGGTGATACTAAGCAAATCTAATATGTAAATATTTATTTCTACAGGATGAAGATTTGAAGTGGGTGGAAGAAAATCTTCCGTCTTCATTTACAGACGTGTAAATATACTGTTAGAGTTTGAATCTTAATTTAGGCTCAAGTGTAAAAGGCTATGTTCATGCTTCGTCCTGTGCTTTTCAGACCGCTCACCTCTGTGTATTTTGATAGGCCCCTCTCCCAGTAGTGAATGGCTGATTTACGTCACATCAAATTGCAAAGAAAACGCAGCCCTGCCTTGGTCTGCCTCTTTCTCCACTTTTTACCACACGACAGGTGTTTTAATGCCAGTGCCTTATTGCCAAGTCCAGCCTTTTCTGATCTAAATTTATAGGATCAGAATCATTTCTTTTGTTTTAACTGTCTGTTATGGAAAAGTCCAAACACATGTAAAACACTTCCTTTAACACATGTAACCACAACACCATGTATCGCAGGGAAAATGTGAGCATAGGAAGAAAGGGTGCAGGGAGCCCTCTGGGAACTCTGGGAGATTCAGGGTCATCTTTGTCTGTGTTCTGTCTGACTCTGGAACTCCAAGCAGCTGTTTCCACAGTGGGCAGCGGTCAGCATGGCCCAGTGGGGTAACGTCCTCGCACCCTGCTCCTTCCCCTGCTCTCACACTTTCTGTTTTCCTGAAGAACCCCTTTTATGGCAGTGATCTCTCAGGTTTTGTTTGTCTGAAGAAGTCTTTGTTCCAGGTTTTTTAAAAGGTATTTTTGCTGGGTATAGAATTCTTGGTTGACTCCCCCCGCCCTCCAACCCTTCAAAGATTGTCACTTGAATGTCTTCTAGCTTTCGCAGTTCAGGGAGAAGTCTGCTTTAGTTCTTCTTTGTTCCTCCCCATGTTATGTGGGTTTTATTTGTGTCTTTTGTTGTGGGGTTTTTGTTTGTTTGTTTGTTTGTTTGTTTGTTTGTTTGGCTGCCTTCAGGATTTTCTCCATTGACTTTGGTTTTCATCACTGTGAATTTGGTGATTCCAGGTATGTGTGTGGATTATATCTTCATTTCTCATGGGTATACACCTAGAAATGGAATTGCTAGATCGTGTGGTAACTGTGTGCTTAACATTTTGAGGAAGTGTCAAGCTGTTTTCCAAGCAACTGAACCATTTTTACTCCTGTCAGCAACACACGAACCTTCCAGTTTCTCCACTTCCTTGCCAGCCCTTGTTATTACTGTCCTTTTGAAGTGGCATCTCATTGTGCTTTTGAGTTAACTGAAATTTAAACTTTCTTGTTGAGGGACTGGTGTTACTTAACTAAACTGTAGTAACAAATTTGGCCAAGTCCTCCCTCCGTCTGTTCTGTACACAGTGCCCCTAACTTCTCTCCCCACTCTGTGCTCATGGCCTCACAGTGATGACAGGGGACCCGTTGCCACTGGCATTTATTTATCCACCTCCATGCAGCCTCAGGTTTGTAGTGTTCTGGCAACACCAACGGCCACAAGCTGGTGTGGCTTCATTCATGGCCCTTAAGGATTTCACAGTTTTTGAGCAACAGTGTGTGGAGAGGCTCAAATTAGGTGGCAGCCGTTGTCTCTCAGATTCGGCAGCTCAACGCTGAGCCCTCTAGGAGGAAACCATCTCACGAACCCCCTACGTCTTGGTGGAAAGTGGTGAGGCTCCTGGTAAGTTCTCTGTGAGAGAGCTACCACTCTTCTCCTTCCTGTAAGTAGAAATATCTGCCAGATTACAAAGATTCTTTGGAATATAAAGGCTGAAATGTCCCATTTTACATTCTCATGAACCATTTATGTGAAATGGGTAGAGCTGTATAATCCAAGTTTCCAACATTTTACTTTCTTGGGAATCTGTGTGTTCGCTTTTGAAAATTAACACAAGAAATTTAGCAAACTCCCCAAAATTAAGAGTACAGTTTCCATAGCAAGTTTAGCAGTTAGCCTTCATACACAGATAAACCCTTCTTTACACATCTGTAAAAACAGAGCAAATATTTTGCAAGTCACAGGACAGTGTAAACAGGTGCTGAGTGACCATCTGCCCCAGCGCATCACGACAGCACACACTGCACTCATCGCGGCACTTCCTCTTCTCTGACAAGCCACAACAGTCAACTTAATGTAGCCCACCTTTCTCCTCACTGCGCTGGGTGACCTTGATGAGTTTCAGTCACTTACCTAATAACACAAGGACCCGCCGTCGACATTGCTAATGTTCATCTCTGAACCAGTGGCTGAACACCCAGCCACTGTCCTTGGGCCCAAGGGGCCTGGTCTACATTCTCCCCGAAGCCGCCCTCTCCCCTCCTCCTTACAAGTGTTGTCCCAGCCGCCTCCGGCATGTCAGTCAGTCTCTCAGCCATCACCAGGGGCCATGCTGTGGGTTGCATCCCTGGCCTGTGTGTGGACGGGGTTTTCATGGCGTAACCTAGCACAGACGTGCCCCTCAGGCAGGCCCTCTCGGAGTCCTCACACATCAAGGCTGCATTTGTCTTCCCTTTTTGTTGTATTATCCTTTTTGCGCACAGGTTGCGTCCAGTAACTTTCTCCCTCTCCATTGCCCTCTGCTGGTTTACACCTAGTCGGTGGTGAAGAAAACACGGGATTGAGCAAATACCTAATTTTCATACACACCGCCTTTCTTAACACGTTTGCTCATCTCTTTTTCAAATATGTGTTTAATAAAAATTGTGTGCATTTAAGGCATTCAACATAATCTGCTATACCTGTGCATAGTGAAATGACACTACAGTCAAGCTCATGAGTGTCCCTAAGATCTCACAGAAGCATGTGACGTGGGTTTGCAAATCAGAGGGCACGTCATCACCCAGACCCTCGCCCAGCGGCTTGGGGAACATGTGGCTGGAGCCCGTTGTGTTTGGAATCACGCCTTCGAATGGTTTTGTATTGATACCCCCGCACAAAAGCCGCTCACGTTGCTGGTCTGGCGTGGCTTGTGTTGTTTCCATTTTTAAGTTATGATTATTTTTATATCTCAGCTCATTTTTTACTGGAGTATTTTGGAGTATAGCACATTCTGGAAAGTACACAAGCTCTAAATAAGTGTAGCTCAATGAATTTGAGATGTGAGCATGCTCCCATAACGAGCACACAACTCAAAAGACAGAACATCACTGGCACCCAAGAGTCGCCTCCTCCTCCCAAGTCTCGACCCCACTTTCTCAAAGCGCTGCACCCTGATGTCTGTCCCTGTAGATGGCTTGCATCGGTTTTTAAGGTTTGACTCCTCGGTTGTCCATGCCCCTTTTTTGGTACCCTACTGTGTGAGAAGACCCCGTTTGCCTGTTGGGGCTACCAGGAACAATGCTGCCATGAAGTCCTCTGTGTCATGGTGCCACGTCTGCACTGCGTGTCAGGTGGAGGGGTGACAGGTGGCGGCTGCGCAGATGTGCTCTGCAGGGGCTGCCTCACTAACCTCGCTGTCCCTCTCCTTTCTTTTCAGGGCTGTGCCCGTGCTGTTGGACTCAGACGAGGTACAGTGTCCCCACACCCTTCATTGGGCTCTTATTCTCACAAAGCAGAGATGCATTTTAGAAAAAGTGAACATTACTTTTAAAACGGTCACCAATCATACAAGCCGAAAGATACTACGTTGATCCATGGGTAAAGTTGAAAGGACCTGGCTCCTCATTTAAAACGAGAGCAAGATAAGTGCATGTCAGGCGGCAGAAGCGGGAATCGCTGTACAAGATTTCAAGCCTGATTTTCTCACTGGTACATGGGGAAGAGTTTAGAAGGTGCCATTTGCCTAAATTATTTTCATATTTGTAGGTAACTGGCTGGGTGTTAGAGTTTCTTGCTGACTTTCATTGACTAAGCAGGACATCAAATAGTGGGTGTGGATTTAGGAAGGTTTTGAGGGAAGATTAGTTACGGACCATCTGAACACCGAAGGGGGCTGGGGCAAGCAGGAGTGTGATGTGTGGGCTGACGGCCGGTAGAGGCCATGTGCTGTGTGGGGCGCCGAGGGTGGCCGTGCTGAGGCAGTGTGGATACTGTCTGTAGGGTGAGACACAGCCGCTGCTCACCGACAGGCAGGGGCAAGGCCTTCACCCTCACCCTGGCGACTGGCTGTCATGGGATGGGGAGTTGGAGAGGCCACAGGGAACATGAGCCTGGACACAGAACCGCCACATCAAGGCTGACAGCTCTACCTGGACCAACCCTTCAGGGTACCTGCAGTGTCACCTGGACCAGCTGCAGTTTGTCCTTTCAAAGTACGGATTTGGTACAACAAGGCCCATCTCCACGAGCTCTGCCCACCCCACCATATGACTTGAACTCAGGTGTCCTCACTGGCAGTGTGCTAACATCCCCTCGAGTCATCAGCAGGCGCCAGCCAGCCAGCCCAGGGACAGTGGGCCGCAGGCTTCTGTTCCTGTATGTGAGACCTGTATGTGTGGCATACACTTGGGTCCCCACAAAACCGCGACTGTAACAAGACTGAAGAATTTTGTCGAGTTCTGAAAGCATTGGCATTTTGGTGAGTATTATTTTTTCTTTTTTTAGGAAATCATGACCAGATCAGAAATGGCCGAAAAAATGTTCTCTTCAGAGAAGATAATGTGACAGGAAGCTAGCTCACAGCGAAGCACCCTGGCCTCAGGCAGCCCGTGCTGATGTCCTGCCACCTGGAGACTGTGCATGAGAATCTGGTGGGGGGGCAGGTTCTGCCTCCCTGTCAAGCTGACTCTTGATGACAGTTTAATGCCCACTAAGTTGCCCGACTTGGAGATAATCTGAGCGAAGTGTTATGACAAGCTCCATGCCCAACGTGCTAAGCTGATGGGTGGCAGGTGTGTGGGTTTCGGTCATTTTTTTTTCTTCTAGAAAATACGACATTTCTAGATTTAAACACTTTTTACATACACTCCTCCAATTCTTCCACCAACTCCTGAGGCAGATGGTACAGCTCCTGAAGCACAGTCAGAGGTGTCCCTGTATCTTGGTTTAGCATCACAAGATGCAGTAATAATCTCCTTTGCCTTCTATATGGAAGTGATGGGAACAGGGTGTTTATGTGGCTTGCTGCTCTGAGAGAGAGAAGCACACGTGTCTGCACAGAGCCGTTTGTCCTCATCACCCTGCACAGCAGGTCATGGCATTGGGGCCTCACTGTCTGAGCTCAGGGGACACAGGTGCATGGAGAGAGAAGTCTTGAGAGCCACTTCCTGAGATTTGCTCTCACTGTCCCCTCACTCAGGCTGTCTGTGCTGCTGTTGAACCTGCCTGGCCACCTGGGTTCCCCAGACCTTTTCCTCCTGGCATGCGGGTGACCCTGGAGAAAGCTAGAACCTCATCTTTTCTGTAATCTTGACACATTCAATTTCATAATAAAACCTATTATTTAACTGTACAGGACATCACTGTTCATCACGTAATTAATTTCTTAACCTTCAACCATGTTTTATATATTATTATAATATGATTTGAAATTTTTTGTTTGATTTTTTTTTTAATGCAGAACATTCTAAACTTGAAAGGCAGTTGAATGTAGTGTGGAAATGTGGGTATTTGCTGCTTTCATGACCAAAGATCAGGACTGGTGTGCATCTAGAGCAGGGGTCACGGTGAGGACCGTGTGTGTCTCTGAAGGAGTCCTGACCTTTGCTGAGACTAACACCAGAGAATTTTGATGGAGAAGCACTGACGAGTCACCAGTACAAACACCTAAACGTGACCTTTAATTTTTTTTTTACTGTAAAACCACAAAACAAGATTCTCTCTTTCAAAATTCTCCCTTTAGAATTTATTTCTCATCGACCCTTTTCAGAAGCTAGAAGAAAAGATTGATTTCTAATAGTGACGTCTCTTGAAAGATACTTTCAGATTTGTTTTCAGCAGTGACTGTTGAACAGTGTTGTAGTGAAAACTCAAGATGCCACCACTTTGGGACGTTCTGCCAGGGGGCAAGTGACTTCACAGCGTGGCTTCACCCTGCACCTTTCCTGGCCCACACGTCCTTGCCAGTCCGGGTGCGTGCTCTCTCAGCCCTGGAGGTGCCCACTGTCTCACTCAGACACTTCTACCTAATGCCACTTCCCGGCTTTCAGGGCTCGCTCACCCCAACACCTGGGGCTCCAGTGAAGTTTTGAATGTGGACCTCTGGCGTCCGGCCAGGAGGAGCTGCCAGCTGACGGGCTGACGGGCCATCCAACGTAACCGCGGCCACGTTCACGAAAGCCCTGTCTGAGTTAGAGAGAATGACGGTGCCAGTCCCCGCGTCATCCAGAGGAGGCCCGCACCAAGTCACTGTCAGCAGTGACCTGAATCAAGGGCTCTGTGGAGGCTTCCGAGCCCTGGCGCTGAGCGTTGTCCACACACAACAGCACCCTGGCCACTGCCATCCTGCTTCTGGCCAACGGTTCTGGAGGCCAGTTGTCAGGGCCAGGTTGGTTTCTCCTTAGTGGCCATGGCCGGGAACGGGAGGGGCAGGAGGAGGAGCAGGGACAAGAGTCCAGTTTACGTGTTCCCAGGCAAAGCGCTTACATGTTATTCTGCACTTCGTGTTTGATCTACATGGTGTGTGAAATGTACTTAGACGGGAATTTTCATGATTTGAGTTGGATTAGTGTCAATATTTGCTCTAAAGGATGTTTGTTAGTTTTATTTTAAAAAATAAGAAAAATAGATGAATATGTAAATCTTTTAAGCCTGGGAGATGATAAGATGTTCCCATACTTCTCCTATAAAGAAAATAATTTCTTAATCTTTCATATTCTGTAGAAATATGAAATTACCAGCCTCCACCTGTGATACAGCACATTGTTTGCACTATGTCAAGACCAAAAGTATAAAAAATGTGCATATCAGATTGATTTTAATATCCTTTTTTAAAAAGGGATTGAGTCTATTGCACTAGGCTACACATGACTGATTTAAAGTCAAATCAGTCATTTGTGCTACATTTATAATCACTGATTTTGATGCTTGTGTCTTTGTGTGATCAGCAGCTTGCAATACAAAACACCAAGCCTTATACTGATAGTTAAAGTTCTAAACATATCACGTGTATGTAAGTGACAAATGAGACTTTTAAGGAAATGTGCATTATGATACCAGAGCTCACCGCTGCACTAAGAAGCTTCTTTATATCTAGGAAAACATGTATTTGGGGAGAAAGTTTAGGGGCTAAAGAAGTTATATTTTTCTATTTAAAATAGTTGTTATTGTATAATTAGGAAGAAGTTGCTTTGAATGTAGGACAAAACTATTTCAAAGATTTTTGTTTGGAAAAAAATCGATGTACTTTGTGCCTTAATATTGGTTCTGACTTTTAATAAACTATTTGCTGAAATGTTGGATGATTGGTTCTTTGTAACATCTGTTAGTGCTAGATCTTGTAAAACTACAGGAAGCGTGGGCTCCCATCAATGGCAGGACATAAAACTTTAACAAAAGAGGTGCAGCCAATCAACAAGCAGGGGAAAGTGTTCACCCTCAATAGCAAGTGGAGAAATGCAACCTAAAAGTAGGGGAAATTCTTAAAAATCAGGGTGATGTGCGTCCACACCGTCACAAGTTTGAGCCCTCTGTTTTTTGGGCCTGATGTAACGAGCACATCCCCAGTGACGGTAGAGCCACTGGCTCAGCCCCTGTGAAGGCAGTTCCACAGTGTGTGTGTGACTGGCGGGCAATGCCAATGGTGACGAGGCTTTTAAAAATGATTCAAGATACAGAATAAGACTTGTGCTCAAAAGAGTTCACTGTGGCGTTTAAAATAGAGACAAAATTAGAGATGAGTGTCAACTGTGGAGTAGACGGTGACCTGCATTTTAGCTCATGACTGCAGAGTGCTCTGCAGCCGTGAAATGATTATGAAGGGTGTGCAATACACAGAAAAAGACTCACTGCACGAAACATGCTACAGGTCACGTGTGTGAACGCTTGTTGAGTAAGAGCCGAGGGAGCACCTCGCAATGGCCCTGAAGCCCAGTGTTGTTCTGGCTCCTCTTGGCTACAGTCACAACATGAGGATATTTCAGCAGTTAAGACCAGTCATGTGGCCGTTCTAGGGTGGGGATAGAACTGGGCGGGGCTGCCTGTCTCTATACAGTCTCCATCCTGTGGGTGACCCTTTCTGGGGCCTGTCATCTGCGTCCAGCTATCGGAAGGGAACAATGCCTCTAGCCTGGGCTCCAGCAGGAAGCACACATCACTTCTCAATATTTCCTACTGGCAAAACTTAGTCCCATGGCCACACCAGACTGCCGTGAGACAGGCTATTAGAGCTCCATGCCTGCCTGCTATTCTAGTTCTGCAAACAGAGGTAGTGGCTTTGGGCGACAGCTAATGACTTCTGCTACAGATTATTTGGTGACAATGGACTGTTTTCCATGGTAGCCTCACAGTAGCCAGTGAGGCAGGTCCAGCCAATGAGTTTATCAATAAGAAAACTGAGACAGCGATTAAATAACTTGCCCCCAGGTCACCCTTCTGGCAAGTGACAAGTGGTCTAACACCACTGGAAAGCACCCTTGAAGGCTTATCGCAGTCTGGGGAGAAAAGGGTCTGCATTTCACGGATGTGTTTAATTGTTAGAGGATTAAGTGACACAATGTGTGCAAACTACCTGGTGTACACGCCTTCACAATAGCCAAGGTTGTGACGAAAGCAGCAGTGATAGGCGTTGCTGGGACAGCTGGCACCGACACTGCCACATGGAATTGCAACATGGTCTAAGACTTGTTTCCCTGGGTTAAAACGCAGCTACCCACAGAGAGTTCTGTGCCCCTAAGTGATCTTGTATTTACACCTAAAATAAATCCCTTCTGGCCGCTGGTGTGGTGCTGAGCTCAGATGATTCTGACAGCTTTTCCTTCAAATCATCCTGGGCAATGTTAAGTAAGTTTATGTGCAGGGAAGCTTTCCAATGTTCTCCAGCAGATGGTGCTCTGTCTTAAGATTAGAACATCTCTGAAGAGTTCTAATCTCAGCATTTTGGGTCTCTAGTTTTTGCTCTTAAAAAACTTAAACATTGACTTGCCAAAATGCCATTAAGCAAATTTAGGGATGAAACAAAAACTTTCTAGAAACGGACATATGGAGAACCACCATCCTGGCAAAACACTTGCTGTGTTGCTATATTCCGTCTCCCTCCAGAATTAGAACTTGCTAGCTGAAGGGGCCTCGGGTTATCATACAGAGGAGAAAATGGGGCACCACAAAGCTTCTCGGACCCCAGGTCCCTCAGACCAGAGTTGAACCCATCTCCTAGGCTGCTGTTCTCACCTCTGGGTGCCCGGGGTCGGAGGGAGGGCAGCGCCCCGGAGGGCTGGACTGCACATCAGAACCTGAGGTACACTGCAGTCATCCCATGCTACATCATCGTATACAACTATTGTCTTTCGTTCTAGCCTCCAAATTGTTGTCGCTCCACAAGTTATCCTCTGCTGCTTGACTGGATATGCGCAGATGTTCATGGGGCACAGCAGAGTCCCAAGAGTTAATGGCAGCGTCTGTTTTATTTTCAGCCCATGAACACCCTGCAAACGAGACATTTTATTCCACAAATTTTATCCTCCCTTTTTAAAAAAAGACAGTTGGAGCATTACCATATCTACTTCCAAAGAATTATTTTAGACATTTATATTAAGAGTAGAATGAACAAGCTAGCCTTTTCACTAACTGCGAAATTGCTTTTTTAGACGATAACTTTATTATTATAAAATGTATTTGTGGGTTTCATGTTCTCATGATGAAGTACCTTCTATTGGTCCAAACTGCCCCTCAGACAGCTCTAGACAAAACTAAAGTAACAACTGCAGGAAGACAGACATTGGAGAGCAAGAAAATGCAGGCAGACACCACGAGGCACCCAGGGCTTGGATCAAGGGAACATTCTGGGTGGCTTTCCCATTTTTATGAACTTTCTGCTGACAGCAGGCTACAGTTGGTGCCAAGTGTGGAGATTAAACCCGGATATGAATCCTGCGCTCTCATCTCTTGAACTAAAAGACATGGATTAGAAGAACCACAGCATCTGGAAAGGAAAAAAGAAAAAGAAAAATAAAAAAAAAGAGAGAGAGAAAACCAAAGACGACAAGCACCACATCCTGTGTATAAACCTCCCAAATCACAAGGTCACCCTGAACTGTATGTGAGGTGCAGACACCACACACCCACCTGAGCCTGAAAAACCGGAGCTGAGATTCCTGCTAACACGGGACGAAGTTTAGCTTGAACCCAATAATGTAAACTGCCTGCTTGAAAAATTATTTGGGAGTAACCTCAGAGAAAGTGGGGAATTAAGGACCTCTGGAAATTTGTCTTTTCATAAGAACAATTTTTTAAAAGCCTTACAAAAACTTCCAGAATTCACCTTTTTAGAACTCTGGAAATGAACCAGTCTTGCATCAACCTAAGGAGCTTTTACACAAGAAAAATGCCTACATTTCAGTAAGGATGCCAAGCTTGGTAGTGTTTTGATTTGTCCCCTACTCAGTGCCCAGCTCAGCAGTAGCTGTCAGAATCAAGGGCCCACATTCTCGATACTGCAGCGGTCAGCATGGAGGGAGGTCTTTCAAAGCCTCCTTCCCAGAGAATTGTCATGATTTGACTTGTCTAGTGGCTCCTTGGAAGCCCCCTAGGGGGGATTGTCTTTACTTGACCTGGGTCAGAGCTTGCCCAGAATTAAATCTTCTTCCTCTGGGACATTTGTTAAAAACATTTACAGTCAAGCGTTTCAATGTTGCGGTACCTGAGGCAATGAACAAAACTGAGGCAAATAATAGACTAACCAAAAAACCTTAAAAGAAAAAACTAAAGAGAGAGATGGCCTAGGGACATTGAAAAGCTCCAGCACACTTCTGAGAACCCAGAAGGCCATGTGCACGCATAGGGCTCTATGGTGCTCAACAAAGTCTGCAGGAAGCAGGAAGTGCAGGCTAAGGTAGAGTTGCAGACCAGTCGGATGAGTGTTAAAGGCGTTCCTCACACATGCGTGTGCACATGCACACACACACACACACACACACAGCACATGCGTGTGCACATGCACACACACCACACACACACACACACACACACACCCCTTGACAAAGGACAGGAGATTTACTAGTTCCAAGGGTTTAAGGAAATCAGTAATTAGCTGACCAGTAGGTAACCGAGTAGAGACTTCAGTAGCCACGTATTACAAATAATACAGACTTTACAGAACTAGCTCAGAGAAGTCACTAAACAGACAATGGTCACAATAAGCAGCAACAACAAAAAGTCCCAGGGAAGGAAAAGTCTGGTTTCCGGAGTTGCCACATTAGGCCAATTTTCACCAAAAAATTATGACACAATCAAAGAAACAAGAAGGTACGGTCCATTTGTGGTACAAAAAACAATCCATGTAAAATGTTCTTGAAAAAGATCAGATGTTAGACTTACTAGATAAGACTCTTAAATCAGCTATTTTAAATATGTTCAATGAGCTTTTAAAAACTATGTCTATAAAACCAAAGTGAAGTACGAGAACACTGCCTTACCAAGCACGGAATATCAGTAAAGAGATAGCAATTATAAAAATGAACCAAACGGAAAGTAAATGGAAGTACTTCTTTGTTAAAAATTATAATAACACATGAAGATTTTACCAATGAGCCTCAACTTCAGTGTTAAGCATGCAGAATAGAGAACTGGTGAACTCGAATATAAGTCGATTGAGGAATGAGAGTAAATAGTGAAAAAAGATGAACAGAGCCCCAGAGATCTTTGGGACATCATCAAACATAAACTGAAACAATGGGAGTGTTGGGGAAAGAGGAAAGAAAGAAAGAGAGAGAGAGAGAAGGAGAGAAGGAGAGAAGGAAGGAAGGGAGGGAGGGAGGGAGGG